ACCCACTTCCTGTGCCACACCCATGCCCGACTAGTAGTAAAATCCTGCAGCCGCCTATGCCAGTGTCAACGTACTGTATAATGTAATGTCAAGCCTATCGTAATATTGTAAACAAGCCTTTACTATGAAAAGTGATTATCAAATCATAAAATTTGCCAAAATTTTGATCTTCCAAAATTACCATTTAGATTTATGTACACATATTGCATCATTATGTAGTCAACTATCAGAAATACAACAACTCACTTTGCCTTGGTGGTACATAGCCGGTACATGTCTTGAATGGTCGTCGTTCTCTAAATAGCTCACAGTTCTGAGTCCTGGTGCAACATGTTGAGTGAAATTCATCATCATATCTTGAATAGTTTAAATTATTAAAAAATGGATTGTATCGGAAGACATGAGAGGAGTAAGGACCATTGACTAGCAAAGCCCCCAAGGAACTATGAAAAAAATAAATAAAAATAAGAGTATCAGTATAAGGTGAAAAAAATTAAACCAAAAAATCTATACAGCAAATGTCTAAGCAACATGGTTAATCTTGTAGATCACACTTATTTTTTAATATAATTTAACATTGATTGTCCCTTGATTACACAAAATTGAAAGTATAGCAGGTCATAAATTTTTTAAATAGGTCTATGAGTATTTGTTTTGAAATAGCTATTTAATGATTCAAGCTGGAGCTCCTTTTATTTTTGGTCATAGATTACTTATTGGTTTGCAAAGCTATTAGAGGCAGGGAATGAATTCTTTTGGAGCATTTTTTGACAAAGTACCATGTATTACAGCCTATTGTTTTGGCCTAATTTTGAAGCAATTCAATTATACTTTTGCAAGCTAATTTTCATTCTCTTCACACAAATCTGCCCAGCAGCTCCAAACCACTTCTCATGCAATGACCTGACTTTGTTATGTAATTACTAGAGTGTAAGCTGTGGTCAGCTACACAGGATGGTACAAGGACAGTGATCAGTGAACTAGCTGAACCTTTGATGTTAGGGACTATGTAATATCTAATATCTACTATTGTAATATCTAATATCATATTACCCAATACCGTAACACTATGGTGTGTATTGACATGTGTCCATACATGTGATATTATTAATAAGCTAATTAAGCTGATGTATAAATTAGATCGACATGTATGTCAATAGGACAGCCAGTACAGCAACCAGGATTTCATAAATTTTAGTGCTTAATGTTAATATAAATATTTTATTGTATCTCAAAGCAATACTTTATGCATACCTGTAGCAACACATGCTTTGATAGGATTGAGGAAACATGTTAGAATAGCATTCAGCATATTGAGTGTCAGAGTAATAATAGTAAGTGAAACGGAAACTTCTGTCAAACCTCACTTGCCATGCTGAGCAAGGACAAGG